TGTGTTCTATTGTGATCATTGTGGATCGGTTTAGGGAACTTATAATAAATTATTTGGTGTAAAATTGGTGAAAAAGTGAAAGGTATGTCCCGGATCAGTACACTGCCCACTCATGAGGTAAGTTCTAACTTTTATTCTTCTTAACATAATTCCTTTTAATTTGCGTTCTTGTTTCTTCTCGTTCTGCATATAGTGTTCATTACACTAGATCCAAAAAGAGAGCCACGATAGCCGAACGGTGAAGGGGTCGGACTAGCCGACTCGTGATCCGGGGAACGCGAGTTCGGTCCCCGCCGCCGCTCGACTATTGTGGTGAGCTCACTCGTGACACAAGCATATTTAGCTTAGTACGAGGGGCTAACGGGAATATTAGTAATTTGTGTAATAACAAATTACTAATAATCTTTATAAAAAACAAAAAAAAATAAAAAAAAAACTATGCTTAGATGTTTTTTTTTCAACAGAATATAAAATGTTGGGGAGTAGATGACAAATAAAACAGCACCATTTATAAAAGCAAATTTTATATTTATTTACAAAGACTAGCGATCTTAACTTTACATTCTCACAACAGAACACTTCGAGACATCCAAACAACAATATAAAGTAGTCAAGGGCCTCTCTATAAAACTTTCATGACAGGTTTAATGTCGCGGTCGCGTCGTCTCTGACGTAGCGATGACGAAGTTCAATCTGTCATGAATGTCACTTTGTCTACAGAGCCTAAAGCCCAGAACACAGTCAAACTAGTCGCGTCATGTGTGGTCTGTCAACAGAATCTATGGCAGAAACTTAGATGCAACTCAAAAGTAACTAGAAGTTGCAGTTTCGTTGCAGTTGCGTTTCACCGTGTCTTCTGGGCCTTAGGCCAAATTGTCTAACTACATCTATCACGAACGCTTTCAAAAAACAATCTGTGCACACCATAACTGGGGCCCTAGAAAAGTAACTTTTTGATCTCCATAACTCCATAGAAAAACGCCAAAGATAAGGCAACTGTCACGCTTTGCCACTAGTCTGGGCGGGCTGATAGATGCTAACTGTAAGTTACTACTTAATACGAAGCTGATTTTAATTCAAATCAGTAAAAATTACATTTAAACTCACTTATATCATTGCTAAGGTTACACATGTGTCAAGAGGTTTGTCAACATGTCTTCACAACATTCTTTGGAAAGGTATTCTTACTGATTTCAATGAAATCATACAGGTATAATAAAATTCATAATGAAACATATAACAAATCTAACAGTAAATAAAAGAGTATAGTTATTAGTGCGTAAAACAATGTTTAAAAAAGCTAGCATGTGGACTGCAGAAGTGACACGAAAATAAAAATAGATTTGCCCCTTTTCATCTAAGTGTAGTCAATACTTGACAGAAAGGGACAAAACATTCATGAGCTTAAGCGGTATTATAATAGTTTTTTTTTACAAGGAAGAGGGTTGTCATATTTTAGCAAATTAGCTTCGAGAAGATCGCATATTTATAAAATTAGTAGAAAAGCGATTACGAAAACGAATGGATAGCGAACGTCTCATAGTCTACCGCATCCAATCCACACATGCTAGCTTTTCGTTAAAACCTAGGTATAATAAAGTGTGCAAGATATTTAAAATAAATTCGTACAAGACAGTGTTAAATACATTAGTCATCAACAAATTTATTCGAATTTGTTCACAAATAACTTTTGCTATATTTAAAAACTAACATTTTAATCAATTTTAAAGGCCACTGATTTATATTTTATCAACCGTTTCTTTGGAACAATATCGTGCTATTTTAATATAATTAAATTCACTCAACTTTTTGGCAATAACATAAAGTGAAAGAGTTTTCTTAATTGCGCTCTAGTTGGCGCAAACAGCTTAATTTTGAAGGCTTCTTAAGATTTACTGACGTTTTTATCTATAGATTGTTTCATCCACGAAGACGCGCCCCACCATTCTTCCGCTAATGTTTGAGTGTTATCGGTACACGCTAAATTATCCATGAGTACACACGGACACTACAATAATGCCGCTCGGATTGCTCGGATCAAACTGCCCGCACCCCACACTTCGCTCGACCAAAAATTGGTGGCACGCGTCTTCGTGAATGAAACGATCTATCTACTAAAATTATCAAGTGTCAGATGACATGAAATCAGTCAAACTTAAATAGGTAAATACTTTCTTGGAATATTTGCAAAAAGTACATCTATTCAATAGTGGTGTATGTATTTGGGTTTATGGTCGCTTTACAAAAAAAAAAAAGATTCGTCACAGAAATTATGAGTCAATTGGTCACATTTTATTTTAGTAGCTCTTAAGGAATATAGTAGATTTGTTACAATTATGAGTGACGTATGATTTACTTAAGTAATACTTTAAAGTGTGACGAATTTACTTTTAATCTTAATTCATAAGTGTGACGATTTATTTTGGTAATTCGGCAACAAACCCTGGTTATAATTTTTGACAATTCTCAAATGCCACAGTTTAATGTGTAAATTTAAACTAAACATTCGCCAATCTTATAATAGCAGCTTAATTGTTCATAATAGCACCTTTTGTCTTGATAAATACCGTTAAGCTCCCTATAACTAATTTTTAAAGGTAAATTCTATGTGTTAAATACATTTCTGGGTGGCGATCCGCGAGTCATGGTTATCATATGTAGTGAGAAAATGATCAGATTCTACTTTTTTTTTACTATACAAAACAAAGGAGCTCTTAGCCTGCATCTCACCTGATGGTAATGATGATCAGGCCGAAGGTGGAAGCGAGCTTCACCCGGAATCCTCAACCACAGAGGAACTGGCTCTCTTACCTCTAACTGCCGGAACACAACAATGCTGTTAACATTGTTGTTATGGCGACAGACTTAGGTAAGATGGTGGTAGCTAGCCAGGCGGCCTTAGAACACTAACCAATTTTCAATTTTCTTGATTCATTATCATCACAGGGATTCGGAATCCCTATGAAAAATTGCCATTTTCTCGTTAGAATTATCTCCGTGTTAGTAATTATTAAATTAGTTACTATTCTATCGGGAAAGTGAAGGATATAATTTAATTTATCAATGACATACTCAAGTTGATTGTGTATTTACATTTTTAAACTAATGTGGAATTTTGTAATAGTGAGCTATGTAATGTCATGTCAAACAGCCATCCTGACATCACCAATGTAACTGTCAAATCGCGATTGTAGTCACTTTTTTGTAACTCATTTTTGCATTGATTTTCTCATTTTGACAGCTCATTAAAAGTATAGTTCCAAAATATACTGAACTGTCCTATCCATGACTTTGACAGTGGGGCGCCAACCGTCAATACCGCATCGCTGTATATATACGTAATATACGTATAGATGACCCACGCTGAACTGTCCCACCAAACTCAATGACAGGGGGGCGCTACCATCGTTCAACTATATGGTTTCCAACATGGCAAAAATCGGAACCAGCGATCCGGTATTGACGGTGGCGCCCTACTGTCAATGTCATGCATAGGACAGTTCAGTATTTTGGAACTATAAATAAACTGGTGCTGTCAAACTTTTACAGGTAGTTACAAACCATACCCTGTTTGAAAGAATTAGAATTTACGATTTTAGGCTTAGAATACTTAAATAAAGATGTGAATGAGATCTTTAGATGAGGGAAAAAGATAAAAGATGAAAATACAAAATGGGACAAGTTAGTGCTAGGTGAATTACGTACGTATTTATTGAAATAAGGAAACTAGCTCATAAGTTTTGAACTTTTTGATAAAGTATAAAAATAGGATAGAAAAGAACGTTCGTTCCCGTTGAGTCACACCATTTTGTGTAACACTGTTACCGATTGGTAAAAAAATTACCGATTAGTAATACTGTTACTCAATGCCACATTTTTTCCCTTTGAGTGACAGTGTTTGTTTCATGAAATGCCGAAGGCAAATTGGCTAGTCGTTTACCATACCATTTATATTATCATGGGCTAGTGTCGGTTTATAAACCCATTTACCGAACACCGTGTATAAACAAAGGGAACGGGAACACAGTGTTTTGTTGAGTAACACCGTCACTCAAAGGGGAAAAAAATGCGGCATTGAGTAACAGTGTTACTAGTCGGTTTTATTTTTACCAATGGGTAACAGTGTTACACAAAATGGTGTGACTCAACGGGAACAAATGGAAAAGAATAGAGCAAGCCTAGGCGTCAGACCACCAACTTTTAGTTTAATTGGCCGATAGTTGGGCCCGATTCTAATTTGTATGAAGAATCGGCCGATACCAAATCGGTGTAATGTGCGCACTTTCATACACATCCATACTGATTAACAGCCCGACTAACTATCAGCCAACTAAATGTCAGCGGTCTGCGCCTAGGCTAAATGTGGTTCACAAACTTGTCCCTTACAAAAATGATTTTTAGGAACATAACCAATTATTTTTTTACTAATATTTCATAATCTCTCATTTGCGGAGTATTTTTAGGTTTGAATTTCTAATCTGTTGTTATTTAGATAAAGATTGTATTAATTACATAAGGTTTTGCTTCATCACACATTTGTATACAGGGTGTTAGGTAAATGGGTATATGAGCCGACACTAGCCCATGTTAACATGGTCATATAAATGGTATGGTGAAGTCAGAAAATTGATATCTTCATTTTAATTATTTTAATTTTCATACAAATCAGATTTTATAAAATTTATTTTGTATGAAAATAAAAAAAAATAAAATGATGTTATCAAATTTCTAACTTCACCATACCATTTATATGACCATGTTAACATGGGCTAGTGTCGGCTCATATACCCATTTACCTAACACCCTGTAGAGGCAATATTTCTGCAAAAATATTTACTAAACTTGTTTTAAAGACGCTCTTAAATGTCTGTAAAGTCCGGCCGCCGAGCAGATAGAATATCGTCCAATGACCCGAAGGTACCCATCCTTATCACTCGCACATAATTATATTGCTGTCGCGACTGTGCGACGGGCGCCCGCAGTGAGTGTGCGAGCGCGACAGCAATATAATTACACGCGAGCGATAAGGATAGGTAGCTTGAGGTCATTGGACGAAATTCTAACTGCTCGGCGACCGCACTTTATACTTTCAAGTTTCAAGGTCAGTGCTTTGAGCTTCGTTCGGAAAGGGTTTGCTCCCAAGACATCCCTTTTTGCAGGATTCCGTTTAGTATACGTGTTTTAATATTACCGTTTGCAGTGTCCCGCAAAAAACCATGTGTGTTCACACGACAGTCATCCAATAAATCCAATAATGCATTATCCGTAAAACTGTATTGCCGTGGGAACGAACCCTAACACGGAACTCACGCAAGTATTCACAAACATTACTATGAGGTCTCACAGTGCGCGTGGACGCACAGGGTGACACGAACCAATCACACAGCTCTATTCAACGTCGTGCGTTCGATTTGCTGTTTCACTTGAGCAAGCATCGTTTGTGAATATGGGCGTCAGATTCGTATAACGAAACGTTATTCGTTTCGTAGATTTTCTCATGTGAATTTATACAGTTGTTGTAAAATTAAAACACCATAATATTACTCCTAGGCACTCTAGCCAAATTATCGTCTATGGTCAGATACATGTTGAACGAGAAAAACATGGCCGCCGACGATAGGAAATGCCACGCGTCGTGCGAATCGTACAGTTGTAGCAGCGAACAAACTCTGTTGCTTTGACGCGATTGTGCTGGTGTTAGCTAAAGGAAAAAACATAAAAATATTACATAATTATCATTTAAGGACGTAGCACATTTATCAACCCGGAAAGGGATCGTAACCGTATCAACTCGAGGCGGTCAGCATTCTTTGTATGAAACTACATAAAGCAACTTATCCGCAATTCCGCATCGTAACGTAAACGCGTCGCCTATACGTAGGCGATACGGTGTTGANGTTTATTTTTATTTCAGTAACTCAAAACTACTAAATTGTATACATAATTAGTAAATAATAAATAAATAAATATCCATGGACATTTTACACTACGCTTCTAGTCCCAAACTGAGCAAAGCTTGTACTTTGGGTACTAGACAACGGACATACTTGAATACTTTTTTTTAATTACACGTAGAGGCGTCATTATACTATTACTAGCTGACCCGGCGAACTTTGTTCCGCCTTAATGGCAATAAATAAACAGACTTTTTTTTAAATTTCGAACGGGATAAAAAGTATCCTATGTCCTTCTCCTGGCTCTAAACTACCTCCCTGACAATTTTCAGCTAAATCGGTTCAGCCGTTCTTGAGTTATAAGTGGAGTAACTAACACGACTTTCTTTTATATATATAGATTTATCTGATAAACAACTGAAGTCAGACTTCGTCGTTAATTATAAAAATTTAACACAATGACTATTAGTATTATTGTGTCATTTCCAAAGTTCTCATAACTTTATTTGCATATTTATTTAAAGTACCTATTTAAACAAAAATCTTTTACCCACCTACATTTTAACTATGTGAATCTCATATTTTACTCTGGTTTTCAGTAGAGTTAGCTGTTTGCTGTATATTAATATACTTTTAACTATCATGTGGTTCAAATTGTAGCTTCTACTAAGTGGACGGTTCAGTTGATTTAAGCCCAAAATCCTATGACTTTATCGAATCTTATCTATCGATATTTTAGCAGCACTACAAAACTAAGTGAACCACGGTACAGCAAGTAACTTCTGTAATTACATTAACTCTGTACTCTCTGGCTGTGTGTTAGTCACACTTAAGTGTAATTTTGAAAAATTATTCAGGTTCTCGCTTGAAATCTAGATTTTAGACAAATTAATCTGCGATGAGTACGGTCAGGTTATAGGGCAAACTTTAAAGGTCAAGGGCTCTACGTGCTTAATTAGAATTAATATTTAATGAAATTCCAGACCTTAGGCCTTTTGCATTTTAGATTGTATAGATAGTTACTATACAATGTGACTTTTCCTTCCGAAATCATCTTATGAATGTGTTTCTATATTTAATATTCTTTATTTATAAAGACACTAGGTGAAATCATGAGCATTAGGCATTGTCCAGCGCTGTACATTTTAACCAATGACGATAGATGGCGCTTTTTAGACACGTCTTATTTATTTATTGAAATTTATTTGTCACGTTTATCGTCATAAATTATAGCCTATATGTTAATCTGGGCTATAAACAATAATGCTGTAACGTTTCAACAAAATCCGTTTAGTAGTTTTTGCGTGAAAGAGTAACAAACATCCAGACATCATGATATCCAGACATCCAAACTTTCGCCTTTATACGAGTAATATTAAGTAGTAGGACAATGTATGTATGTAGCACGTAAAAACGCGTAACGATCGTGCAAAACTATGATCAATAATTGTATCGTTTTGTACTCGCAGCATCGTGTAGCATCGAGTCGCGCCATGTATAGACACTCCTACGATCATACATTTATAGCTCGACTTGTTTGCCTTGATGCTTTAACTATTCATCTATTGAATATTGTAGACCACGTTTGTATACTCGAGCCACGTGCCTTTGACGACACATGCGTCCTCATTTAAGCTAGTCTCGTGTACTGACGATGGTGAAACCAAAAACTGCGGCATTTATGCAATAGAAATAGATGCTATTTTGTAACTAAATGAGTGTGGAGTAGGTACCTACCTACTATTTATGTTACAATGAAAAACTAAACATGGTGATTGACACCAAAATCATTTATAAAAGACTAGCGACCCGCACCAGCTTTGCATGTTTCTCTACTTCTTCTTCTTCTTGTCGTGTCGACAACAAACCTACACAGTGTCAGCACAAAACTCCGCAACAAGAGTGGCGTTGTCAGCAGGCTTCATTAAATCTTCCTGCGTGCAGTTGTTTGGACACGCAGGGCACGACATCATGTGCTTCGTCGACTGAGGGACAAAACCACACATTCTCTACTATATTATGCATGTATCTATCTATATAAATAAAAATGAATTGCTGTTCGTTAGTCTGATTAAAACTCGAGAACTGCTGGGCCGATTGAGCTGATTTTGGTTTTAAAACGTTTTTTGTAGTCCAGGGTAGGTCTAAACGGTCAAAATTTGCTTATTTATTGCCTTTTTATATTCGCCGGGTTAGCTAGTTATACATATAAACCTTTCTCTTAAATTACTCTATCTGTTAAAAAAACTGCATCATAATCCATTGCGTAGTCTTAAACATTTAAGCATACATAGGGACAGACAGCGGAAAACGACTTCGTTACATACTATGTAGTGATGTGTTAGTCTAGGCGCAGACCACCGACTTAGATGGCCTATAGTTAAGTAGGGCTGTTGATTAGTATGGAGATGTATAAACGTGCGCACATTACACCGGTTTGGTATCGAACGATGCTTCATACTTAGAATCGTTGCCAACTATCGGCAACTAAAAGTCGGTGGTCTGCGCCTAGGTTTAACTGACACACTATCTACTCGTATTAGATCCTTTATTGGAAAACCAATTTGATAGAGTATGTCGCCAATTCATTACTTGGAGCGAGGTTGCCTTGATGCAGAAGAGCATACAGCTTGTATGTCCCCATTGTCTTAGCTCCCTCTAATTTCATAGTAAAACTTACTGGCGCCTCCAGTTACATCCTTTGATGGTGAGACGTGCGGAAATCTAATATACTCCAGCCATTTTCTATTTAAGTGCCACCTAAGAGACGTTTAACTTGAGTACTTCTGGCAATTTGGCTAATTGTCTTAATAAAGACGTTCAACGCTTTTATCAAAATGTGAAATATAGGCAGCGTTAATTATAATTATGAGCAGAAGGAGGGAAGACGGGGGATTTATTTTGGTCATTAATTTTTGGGGTGTATTGATAAGGGAGAGTTTGTTGGACTAATTCTTAAGACTGCCTCTGGTATAGGATTGGAGATAAGAAAAATGGTCTGGTATTATATAGCTAAAAGATAAATTACTTACGTGTCATAGCTAAGTATGAATAAATTGCAGACCTTACATAGTTTAAGACAAAGTCGCTCCCGATGTCTGTGCGCTTAGATCTTTTAAACTATACGTAACGGATTTTAATGCAGTTTTCAGCAATTAATAGTATATTCAAGAAGAAGTTTTACATGTTTAATAGTACCCGTGTGAAGCCGGAGCGGGTTGCTAGTAGGTAAGTTTAAGGTAAAAATGATAACTAACTAATACATGGATTAGGAAAACTTTCTTGAAAAATACAGAGCTAATAAAACCAAATATGGAAAAAACGTACCTACCTACCATTCGTAGGTTCACAACTTTAGAGCAAACTATCAGATGACATACAAAATACAATACAAAAAGAAAATATAAAAAAATGTAGTTCTTTCTTCTCAATAAGGGAGCTGTAGGTACGAAGATTAATATTTTGTAAATGGATAAGTATTTGTATTTATTTTCTTCGGCATATTTTTCTTGTGTTTATTAATAATAATTACCTGTTTCTCAGAAAGGAAACATCTTTTATATTTCCATGACAATAATCTCTGAATTTCCTTAACAATTCTTTTCCGAAGATTATCGGAAATAAAAACAGCTTTTGCCAATTAAATTGATAAGCCTTCTTAAGCAGCCTTTTTATGTTAAGTGGCTTTCAAAAGAAAATATATTTTCACCTAATTAATGTGCTTATGTAAGAATTTCTTGCATGCGTTAGGTACATTGGATTTTTAAGAAAATATTGCTACATGGATTAGTAAATACTGTCCAATGCAAATATTACTATACTTTTATTCATAAAGGATTTGATTTTTAGAAGAATATTGGTAACTAGCGGTTGCCCGCGCCTTCGTACGCGTGGGCCTCGTTTCACCTTAGGGGTAGAATTTTGCAAAATTCCATCTTAGTGAGCACCTACGTTCTAAAAGGAACCCCCATGCAAAATTAGAGACTCCTAACAATTATAGTTTCTGAGATTTCGTGATGAGTGAGTCAGTCTGACCTTTCGCTTTTATATTTAAAGAAGAAGAGCTTTATTTAATAAAATTTATATTGCACTTACCTAGAACCTACTACTATTCCCGTTTACTCTTCGTGGTAAGCTTGTGTTACGATTTAAGTTTGGAATTGGCAGTCCTCCAATCTCTAACCTTTTAAGTTACGTAGAGTAGGTACAACTTACACACGTATAAATTATGGATAAATAAGATAATTTATAAAATACCAAATGCCTCTTCCCAACCAAAAATAACCCCACTAGCATTTACATCCCCATTCTAATTCCACACGTCTAACCCTTTTTTCAACCCCCATCAAATAAAAAACTGGCACATTCCCACTTTCCACCCCCGGGGCATCACATCTCACACGTTCCAATGGACCAATTAAATACGCTATTCAACAGAAGGTTAATTAAGAAGAAAATTATCTTCTCAAACACAGGCGGCTGGCGGGTTGAGGGGCGCGGTGTGTGGGATAAGATCACAGCGTTTTTAGAAGCGGAGCGGGCAGCGTGGATTTAAAAAACTGATAGCAGAATTGTTAAGGTTACTTAAAAAAAAGTTGACCAATGGAAAAAATACTTTTACAGAAAAAGGATTTGTAGCAAGCTGAATGCTCCTAACTTACTAATAATAATTACTTCTTATTTTAACGGACTTCGAAAAGCAGAAGGTTCTGAATTCATTTGTAAGTTTTTTTATATCTTCTGATTTATTGCGTTGTGACTCCGTAACATTCCTCTGGAAAACTTGCTAATCTTGGTTACATAGAAC